CAAAAACAAAAGTGTTGCATTTATAATTTTGTTCAGTGTACATTAGACTATTTGCAGAATTTAAAACTCTTTACATAGGCAGCACTTCCAGTCAACCTTTTGAGCCCTCTTCCATTGGAAGGCACATGAAACCACCTCCTGCATTGATGGCATTCGATCTGAAAAAAGAAAGAAAGGTAATCAATTATTCATTTCAACTCAGTTCAATTCATATTGCTTTATTGGCATGACATCCTGAAAATAACAGTAGAATACTGGCAGCTGTGGTTGCTGTCAGTAATGAACTGTTAATTTACAGTTCTCTACAGTTGATTTACATCTCTCTTTTTTTTTATAGCGAACTGCTGCCAGTTAGTTACTGTAATTTCTACAGGAAGTTTTTATAGTGTAGATATGAATTTACAGCTTATTTAAATAATTATAAAATATCTAAAAGGTGTGCATTATAACTGAGAATTACATGAACACTTTCGATGCAGTATGAATGACATACACTGGTGACATTTTTCACAATCAAATAACGTTACTGCCCTAAACTCAATAGCGGAAAGGCAGCGCTATCCTGCAAGTATGGCGGATAAACAAAGCAGTTTCCCAGAACTCAACGCGGCGTTACGTCACATTCTCATTCTTTATAGTTTAGTAAAAGTATGGCATAGTCTCATATCAAAAACAATTATGACAGTAGTAGCTATCAGTTTATTTTAATTTTTTAATTTATTTATTTTTGTAGTAGTAGTAGCTATATTTTGGAAACCATTATTACCACTGTAATTTTTATAAGGGCTTTTATAGATGTAAATAAGGTGTTTACATTGACCGCACTCATGTCATGTGCCATTTTGACAGTTCACTCTTTGGTTCAGTGGCGCTGCATACGAAAAGCGTTCCACACTTTGCGGCTTCCGTACAATCACAGTCCAGGAAGAGCTGATATCTTTCAATCTTAGAATCCAATGCTAAACCCACGACACCCAACTGTGACACCAGCGTGTGAGAAAATCGGTAAGCATTATTATGATTCGGTAATCTGATGTCATATTCCTTTTCGCAGGTTGTGAGTTTGTGTGCCAGGTCTTTATTCAGCTGTGTATCATCCTCGTGGGCATCACTCATCGTGATCCACTGCCAGGACATGTTTACTAGTTACAATAAATATATGATGAGTAGACATAAAGAGATCAGAAATGCCCTAAAATTAGAACATGTTTACATGAGTTATTTTATTAGCTGTGACTGTTTATGAATTGAAATGTTTTGTTCTTAAACTGTGTCTGTTCTCACAAAAGCAAGATAACTGTCAGTCCAGAGAAGTGCCGTTTTAGATGAGAAATCGCAACAATGTAATTTATTTTTATTCATTCATTTACTTTTTCTGTGCCTTTTAGCGTTGCTCAAATGTTTCGCAAGATCAGTTTATCTACATGGGCGTAAGCGTGAACAAATCCAGAGTAGTCCAGTAGGTGTCTCATGTGACCTCATTCATCACCTTTTTTTTTCTTCTTTTTTTTTGAAAATCTTCACAAGTTATTCTTTAGCTAACTGGATCACTCTTGTTGTGAGTGTTTCTTATTTCACATGAAGCCAGGATTTTTCTGCAAAACATCTGACACATTAAAATCGTTGGTTGTTTGTCGTTTTTTTTTTTGTGGGACTAATTTCCATAAACAAACAGCTATCCAGTGTTTGTTTTGTGTTTCAGGTTGTCATGGCTAGGGCCACTGTGATGCTGCTGCTTTCTGTGGACTGACACCATTAAAAAGGTACTACTTGACTGATTCATGTAAAGCTTCATCCATACACTTCCTTTTTTTTATAGCAAGTTTTTATAGCAACACAAATCTTGGTAGCAGCACCTTATTTAATTGGTGCTAGGCTACAGTCCGGTGAATACATACCATACTAAATGATCCCATACATGGGTAATACTGGAACACTTAAGCATCATCTAACATTGTGCATATATCTGTCCATTTCTCAAAATCAGCAGAAAGTTCATTCCACATTAATGTAACCGTTTGGATCATATTTTAAAACTATACCACTGACAAATTATCAGAAAGTTTTCCACTTTATATTTTTCATTTTTTTAATCCCCCAATCTCTGTTGTAATGAGCACATTGATTTGATTTTTTTGACATTATATTCATGTACAATGAGATCCAAAATCTAAGACCTTTTCTGAAAGTGCTTCCATTTTTTTTATTACAAAATATATTATTGGGATAAAAATGTCAATTTATTTGAAAAAATACTGTGCATTTCAGAATGTCTTATTATTTGGTCTGTCTCTTGTGCTGCATGAACTCCGTGTAGTCTTAGGCTGATGATACACGGGGCAACTTTGGGCAATGTTGCCATCAACGGGCAACCAGGTGAGACACAGGGCCCACAACCGATCTAAAGTATCCAGATAGAAATTTGTTACCCATCCTCAATGGGAAAGTGCCCAAGCAACATTGCTCAGAAAGTTGCCCCGTGTATCATCAGCCTTAGACTTCTGAACCACACCATAGGCTTCATTTATTTGATGTTCTTTTTTAGCCTTGAACAAATCAATATGTTCCATATTAAATGGTGCTTTTGGCTACCATTGATCCAAACTCTGCATTCTGTCTGCTATCAGGAGCTGCTTCAGTTATCCTGGCACATACTCTATCTGGAAGGATGAAGCTACGACTGCATTTTGTGGTGGACCCCATGGGCTGGTTCTGCATAAGCATGGTGCTGTTTGTCTGGCTCTATAACAGCTTCCTGATTCCCAAACTGGTGCTGTTGCCACATTATGCAGAAGGACACATACCTGCTGCACTTGTGGTCTGTAAGTTCTATGACCATAAGTTCTATTAACATGTTCTACTGATACCAGCTCATATTATGTGCTGCAATCAGTTTTTTCAGGTTCAGGAGAGAATAGTTTTACTGAAATCTAATTGTTCTACAATCTTGTTTGTGCAGGTCATGGGGAGAAGCTTCAGATGAGTCAGTTAAAACTTGAATTCTTCTTAGATTAGAGCAGAGCAGTGAGCTAATAAGGTCTTGTTTACCACCAGAGTAAGTAGAGTAGCATTACAGGTTTACGTACAACAGGTTTTTTTTTTTTACCAATACACATCAACAGTTCAGAACTAATTACAAACCTGACACTTTGTGAACATGAGAGTAACTAAATTTTCTGAAGGAAATATTAGACAACAAAAGAATAGTGTTAAAAGTTTAAGTAAGCTGCGGTCACACTAGACTTTGAGCATGCAAAATTTCTATGGAAACTGCAACGGATGTAATATGACATCACACTATGCAGAGTCTTTTTAAAAAACATAATTCAACTTATAATACATCTAAAATGTAAAAATTAACAATCTACTCCATTTTACCATAATTCTGCAGAATTAAAGTTTACATTGTTTTAATTCAGTTAAGAGGTCACGCTGTAACACCAATCTTCTATTGGTCACACATCTTCACGTGATATGAATATGCAGATCAGAGTTTACCAAACTTGTACTTTGGAATGCAGCACAATTTGCATGAGCTTGTGTTTCCTGTTTCCTGCATTCAAGGGTAGTCAGTGGTATGAAAAATGTAGTGTGTCTACCCCTTTAGGCTTTGGTTCTGTGTAAATTACACAGTTGGCAAATTAGTAAATATAATATATGCTGAACAGACAACACTAAGCACAATTTAATATGCAAATAGATCTAAGAAAGAAGGACATGCTCAATTCGTTATGAAAATATTATTATATATACGCAATATCCCGAAATGAATGAATTCATGAGAGATGAATGAGAGAAGCCCTGTTTCCAAGGTGATTTTTGGTGATTAAATCACAAGTTGTCAGCTGAGATGCATTTACCGTTTCCACCTTGTATACATGCGCACAAATACTATTACATGAACCATCCAAGGTAGTGACTTACAAGTGAGCGGGAAAGCAGGCAAATGAAAAGTACCGGTAGCTTTTTTTTTTTTGGAAAATGGCTGTTCTGCTTAATATTAAAAAACTAAAATTAGATCACTTCAGCATTAGGTGTGCTATCAATAAAACAAAGAATGAATGGAGTCTGTACATTAAGGGGCTAGGCATGAATTAATTGCACAATTTTTAAATTTTTTAATTCTTGTGTTAAATAGTAGGCATGGGCAGCTCATACGGTCAAAATATGAGATTTTGACGGTATGATATCCTTAAGCAAAAATATCATGGTGTTGTCGTTACAGCTCTAAAATATGTTATTTTTAAATGACTGGGTAAAAAAATATATATAATTTTTCCGCTGAACACAATATATTTTGTTTTTGAGCAACATACAGAATATTAGGAACAGTAGAATTTGTTTATTTTTTATTTGATTTGTTTCCTAAAAAGAAGAAAAATAAAGACTGACATCTTTATTTAACCTAAATCTGTAATTACAGTTATTTAATTGTAGGCGTAAGTTCCAGGGGAAGCTCCTTAAGTTCGGCCGTCATACACACACGTTACTGACCGCTCGCACGCACCAGGAGGAGGAGGAGGGTCGTGCTACTCTCTACACTGCACTCAACCTGAGGGACTCCTACACTTTTAGTCTTTGAGGACTCCAGAGACATGAAAATCAGCGCATACCGCAGGAACGGTATAACGGAAAATATTAGTAGTTTTGAAACCGTGAAATTTTCAAATCGTGGTATACCTTGAAACCGGTAATCGGCCCATGCCTATTAAATAGTAATGTAATTGTTCTCCCCAAGTCTGTTTGACACCATTTAGTTTCTAGTTATCGTGACTTTTGTGATAAATGTGAAATTTCTCTCCTCTTTTTCAAGTTTACTATCTAGCATCACTTCTGTGCATCTCGGCATTATTCAGGGCTTCCACCGCCGACCCCGGAAAACTTGCTCAGGACCCCAAAATTCTACTCGCAGGTATGAAACCTAATGTTCTGTTTTGTTTTTGTTTTGTTTTTCTAATGCAGCATAATAAACTTAATTAATTGTAATTAATTCACAGTCGGTGTCTAAATTAATCTCCACCCCCTAATTTAATGTAGTAATTTTGTTCCACAAGTGTTGAAGGATTTATTAATAAGTGGTCTTGCTAAAACTCTGAGCTTTTTTAATCGGGATGCAATAATTATCTAATATTAATAACAAATAAAATATTGACCTGCCTTTATCGTCTGGCTAAATTGGCAAAGCTAAATGCCCCACAGGCACAAAATGAGAAACAAATATAAACAATGTTATTATTGATCCTTTTCACTGCAAATGTGTATGTAAAGTGTTTATACGTACAGGTAGATTCTAAGGATGAGTTAAGTTTACATGTTTTTGCTTATGTGTGTGCGCTTTAATATGTGCTTTATCTTTTAATTAAAGCTGTGTAGAGTCAGAGACCAAATGCTTACCATACTTAATGAAGTTCCACTAACTAACCAGATGAGGGCAGTATACCTCAGTGTTCAGTGACTTGAGTCTTACAGTTTTTTTTT